CCCCAAAAACACCAGCTCAATGGTCACCGTCCCTAGGGCTTTTGATTTAGTAGGTCAAAGAATGGCCTAGGGATCTGACTTTTTAAAACAAGTACCACCTTTCCTTCCAACTCTCCCTATGATGCTTATATAACTAAACTTGGAAAATGACCACCCTTCTCTATAAACTAATGGGGCTTACACCATGCAAACCCAACAGACTTTCCTACTTAGGTCATTCTTCCTTTTGGGCTTAATTCTAACACCATTTTCCCAGCTCACATTAGTTGCCTAGTCTCCCTGACTCTGGCCTCATTATGACTCTACAATCCATTAGCTACACTCCTGCCAAAGAAGAGCTTCCCTTAGTATAACTCAAAGACACCCCTCTTATTTCCAAAATTAAATCCTGAACTCCATATGCCAGCCTTCAAGACTCTGCCCTATTGGAAGTCAGATTCAAGGCAATCAAAATTCTTTTCCAGTTTGAAATTTGAAAAATGCTTCCTTGGCCATCTTCCATGCTTACACTCCCATTTCTTGGCCTCTAGCCAACCAGGGCTGCTCATCCTCACCTCCTAGTGTCAACTGTGCTCTAGGCTCTAGGCATCTTCTCATGCCTGTAACATTATCATTTTGCCAATATCTCATCATCTCTCTCCAAGGTCTACACTCAAATGCTGCCTGCACCATGTCATTCCTGATACCTCTCTCAACCATGAGCGATTCATCTTTCTTCAGCATTCATAAGACTCCCCCTGCCCTTAACAGGTCATTGACAAAGAGCTAGAACTAGAGACTTATGCTAATGATCTCCTCTGTTTTTAAAATAAGTTCCAGAAGTAAATTATGCATTGTTATAAGATAAAATAACTATCTCTTGAAAATAAAAAATGTCCAACAACATGAGCAAAAACCATAATAACAACCAAATCTAATAATTCCACAACACAACTATGAACAATTCTGCTAGAAACCTGGGCTTTCAATGCTGGGAGTCATCTGTTCTAGAACACTGCCTGCTCTGTCACTGCAGCCCCAGTTTAGCGTCTGGTGAGAGTCCAGTGAAAGGGAATATTAGACTCTCAGGAGTGGAACTCAAAGCATGTGAGGAATGGCCATGCGTACTTTCTCAGGGAATTGTGAGATGTTTTATATCGCCCGTGGAATTGTGAGATGTTTTTTATTGCCTGGGTTCAAATCCCAGCTCCAATGGCTTCTTGGAGAAATTAGCCAATCCAAGACTTGGATGAGAAATATACAAGAGGAGGCTGGGACNACTTGATGGGGGTTCTCAACTTCCAAGATGGGACAATTTGAACATCAAGAAGAATGACTGAAATGAATTAAACATAAAATATGAAAATCACTAGTGTCTAATAATACAAAGAAAAAATCTCATTGGCTACTTTTGAAGATTGCTGAGGCACCAGTTCATTATTCTGAAGACTGATAAAGGAAGGAATCAAATATTTGTCATGCCTTTATGGAAGAATCTCAGCTAACAAATGCAAGAGGAGTAACAGAATTATACAAATTACTATTTTGCAATCTCCAGTGAAAAAGAGAGCAGCCATCAATGACAGCTAAAACTACTATGTGAAAGTTTGATTCTGGCCCTTATTAGATACAAATCTGGGCAAGTTATTTGACCTCCAAGGCTCAGTTTCTTTATCATAAGTTAGAGACAATAAATGTAAGTGTGATTTACTATGCTTTTGTGTGGATTAAAGGAGAGAATGCACCTGAAATGTTTTCCAGTGGGTCTGACACCTCAGCAAGAAGCTCAGTAACCAGTGTGTATTATGCAGTGTAAAAACTTCCTAGTAGGTCAGCTGAACTTTGAGGGGTACCCAAGTCTCTGAGTTGAGCTCTTTCTCCAGATCAGGGCCAAGTAATCTTATCCAGAGAAGAGGGATTTTATTTATAATGGCTTTTCATGGCTGCACTTGAAGACATGGCTTTAAGTAGATGCTTAGGTGG